ACACACACACACACACACACACACACACACACACACACACACACACACACACACACACACATTAGTCAGCAGCACCTGTCTGTCTGTGAGCCTGACAGTCAAAGCTGAGGGCACACTGAACCAGATCTGAACGTTGATCCTAAACTGAAGACCTGAACCAAGACCGAGTCAACCGAGACAGGATCCACAGTGGAACTCTGGGAAACCTAAAGTCCAGGACCAGTTAAACCAGTAGGGCTCCATCACAGCTGTTCTGGTTCTAGACTCTGACTGGACCACTGTAGAACCTTGGTTCTTCTCTGTTTGACCCGGTCTTTTGTAGACCAGCTGCTGTGTTTGGGATCATGGTTCTGTTGGACCCAGGTTGGTCCAAACTTCAGTGCATTCTGGGTAACCATCTGAGCTCTACTGGGGTCAGACCTGTTGTTTTGACCTTTGACCTGTTAACTGAGGCCTCAGCAGGTTCTGATCTTGGACCTGGGACCTGGACCTCTGACATCCTGCAGAGCAGCAGGGACCAGTTCTTCATGACTCAGTCAGGATTTCAGAGTCCTTAATCAGAATCTGAGCCGGGCTGTAAAATCAAGTGGATCTGAAGCCGAAGAACCTCAGAGAGACGTCTCCAACATCAGCCGAACATTTCTGCTGCAGAGGGAGAAGGATGAGCTGAGAGCTGAGAGCAGGGCGGACTTATTGAATTTACTCCAAACACAAACACTCATTTCCTGCTGACCCCACCCATAAGCTGATCTGAGCTCAGAACAGCCGAGGCTGGAGGAGAACAGCCGAGGCTGGAGTTTAAGTTTCTCCTGATTTATGAGGAAGAGACAAATGTTACTTCCTGTTGAGACATTTGTCTAAAATCAGCTGTTTTCTGTCAGCAGGAACAGAAAAAGTTGTTTGATAAAATAAATATTCTTTGTTTTTATAATGACAGAAAAGCTTCAGGTTCAAAAAACAAAACAAAAGAATCACTTCTGAATGTTTCCATTTTTAAAACATCTGAAGCCGTTTTCCTCTSAAGCCCCACCCTCCTGCCCAAATATGGTCACTTCCGGTTCCCAAATGGCCACGCCCCCTAAAACCAACTGGCTCCACCCTTTATTTACAATCCACCACAGAAAACCAACAGAACTCTTCAGAGGAAACTTCAACCCAAAACAGGAAGTTAAAGTTCTGCCTCAGGTTCTGGTTCTCTAAATGTTTCAGCCCAAAAACCAGAGGTTCTCCAGATGGATGCCTTCTGGAGTTTTACACAGAACACCTTAGGAACCTACAAGAACCAGAACATACAACTAAAAGCTGTTGAGTTTTACAACATAGATGTTTTTACTGAAACGTTCTGTAAAGGTTCTGTAAAATGTTNCCAAACAGAACCAGAACCATCAGTCAGAGGCTGGACCCAAACAGAACCAGAACCATCAGTCAGAGTGATGTCCCTGTTGGTCCTGTTGGGTCAGGTTGTCCCTCACTCTAACCGGTTCTGGTCTGAATTGGGTCAGAGGTCAAACCCATGTTCAGGAACCAGAACTGAACCTGCTGATCCAGAACCACTTTGGATGATGGAGAGACGAGGTCTGGACCAGGAGGTTCTGGATCATTAGTCCTGGATCAGTGAGTGGTTCTAACTCGGTTCTGACTGGAGTCAAACCCACATTAACCTGCTGAAGGTCCGACTGACCCAACTGGCTCGTTTTGGACCAGCACCGTGACAGCGGTCCCTTCCTTCACTTCATCATGGTCAGTGAAGATCCGGACCTTCACTGGACAGGTTCTGGACCAGTTGATGGAGCCGGGCCCAGGTTCTGGACAGTTTTTTATGGACCCGGGCCCAGGTTCTGGACAGGTTCTGGACGGTTGATGGAGCCGGGCCCAGGTTCTGGACAGGTTCTGGACAGTTGATGGAGCCGGGCCCAGGTTCTGGACAGGTTCTGGACAGTTG